GTATACAGCCCCATGTTCTGCGAAGAACATTTAATCCATAGTGTATACTATGAAAATTAATAAAAGGAAACTTCACTAGAGTTGGAGGCTAGAACGAGGAGCCATACCTCTCAGCATCAATTATAGTAAGAATTGTCAATTACAAACCCCAACAGAATCATCATCAACAGAAAAGATGATCAATTACAGACTGTAGATCAATTAGAAACTGTCATCACCCTGAACTCTTGCTTTCCTCCAATGGATTTTCATTCAGAACAACCCTTCCCAATTTCCTCCTTCTTCCCCATAAAATAACATTCCCCTCTGCTGTTTCTTGGACTTGCCTATGTCTTTGCCCTAGATAGCATGTCCCAAACTGTAATTCCCTGCTATTCTTGAATAAATCCATTCTTTTGCTGGTAAAATATTTTATTTTTTATTCTATTTTTTTCTTTTTGCTTTAGGAAAAAACCTCTAAGAAATGGGGTACCAGTCATCAAAATGCTTTGAGGGCATCTCCACCTCTAGGACCTCAGCCAGTTTTATGTTTAAAAACTATGGTCCTTCCTCATGCATATTTCTAAATAAATGGACCCATTTAACTAAATGTAATTTTAGAACTTCAGTGACTATTATGGTGAACTTTCGATCTCCCCAAACTTACTTTCCTCAAAACTGAGCTGGATAGCCATGGCTCTACAGTTGTCGAAACTGAATGGGATGCCTATATTGCTTGGTATTTTGAAGCAACCAACCGTTACCAGGAACCTAAACTTGCCTCTGCAAAATACAATTTTTCACTAAATGAGGCAAACAATTAAAAAAAGACAAAAAGGCTTCCAAGGGCTCCTTTCCCCCTCCCTGATCTTGCCTCAGGACGTGTGCAGCCCCTCACACTCAGGCCCCACCACCTCCACTGCCATCATCCTCCTTCCCTTCTGCACAAGCTCCGCCTCCTCTATGCCCTTGGTTTCCTCATTTGAATTCTCTCATTTAACTTCTCTGTTCCTTAGAACCTCTCCCTGCTCCCACCTCTCCTGGACCTACTAAAACCTGCCCCTTTAGAGACTTCTGAGGATCCAAATAACCCCCAAATTTCTTAGGTTCCCTGGACTAAGGCTGAATTACAAGCCATAGTTAAAAGAGTTTCCTAAAGTGAGTGAGGACCCCCATAGGTCTGCTGAATATTTTAGCAGAGTGATTCAAACGTGCCAACCTGGTTTCTCCGATATTTATCAGTTAGTCTACATGCTTGTTCACAAGGGCCAGGCCAAACGCTGGATGAAATCAGTCCAGGGGGAACATCCTGAAAGGGATTCTAAGAAACAGACCCCTAACTTTTGGCAAGATGTTAGAACACTCGGCTGGAAACCTCCACTGAGCAATTATAGTAGCCTTTCCTAAGCCTGTTGACTGGAACAAAATTCAGGCTTGCACACAAAAGCCTGATGAGCCTGTTCATGATTATTACAAATTATCTTTAAAGAAAATTCTGATCTTGCTGTGCATGTTGAATCCACACAGGTAGCATTTAACTTTATGTTTATTAGCAGGCTGAACTGGGGTCTCTCTCTTAAAAGAACCAAGACAAAATGGGAAACCGTGTCCCCTTCAGATTAGATCTGGCAAACCAGCTTGCTCACACCCTAGATGAGTAACCTGAAAGACAAATCACTACAATTCTTAATTTTCAACTCCAGCAAATGAAAGCCCCTAAGCAAAACCAAAACCTCCTAGTTTCTGCTGTTGTTGCAAAGAGTCAGGACATTGAATAAAAGATTGTTACTCTCTTAAGTGCTTCAGATGTCTTCAGCCTTCTAGCGACCTTTCCAATGCCCTCCTAATTCCCAGTAATGGGGCTCCAAGGAACTACCAGGGGTCTTCCCAATCTTCCCACTTAATCAGCTTGGAGAAACCACTCTCCAGATTGGAAATGAATTTTTCCCTGTCCTTGACACCAGAGCTACAGTCTTGGTGCTCAACCTCACTGCTATAAAGTAAACTTGCCTCCGAGTACTAAAACAGTTCAAATAGTGGGGGTCTCTGATCAACTTCAACAGGTTCCTATCTCTGAACCTATTCCCTTTTGTCTCGGCCCTTTAAGAAATATGCACCTTTCTCTCCTTAGTTCTGCCACCCCATTGATTTACCAGGTCGAGATTTCCTAGAAAAATATGCCAGAATTCCTTTCTCCCAAAAGGGGGAAATAATTTTACAAGTTGACAGTGATAATTAAAATAGCCAACCAGGTGAATTAAATGACCCTTTGACATCTTTTATTTGCTCTGACAGCAGCATAGCTGAGTCTGGGGATGATGATCATTTGTTCCTATTGGATCAGCTACTGTCCTCTTTTTGGGCAAGATCTTCAGCTGATATTGGCAGAATCCACGGTGCATCTCCCATCAAGATTCAAAGAGATCCCTCAAAAGCTCTCCCCAGAATTAATGAATACCCTATAAATAAAGAAGCCCTTCAGGGCCTCATTATTCCCTGCACTAGTACCCATAACATACTTATTTTACCTGTAAGAAAACCTAAATAATCGAGGATGGAGGTTTGCTCAGGACCACCAAGCAATAAATAACATTGTTACCACTTGGCACCCTGTTGTTCCTAACCCCCATATGCTACTGATCTCCATTCCCACAAAAGCAAATTTTTCACTATAACTGATCTATGCAGTACACATTTAGTATTCTGGTTGATAAGGCCAGCCAATTTATTTTTGCTTTCACTCTCGAAGAACAGAAATACACCTGAACAGTAATGCTCTAGGGTATCACAGAAAGACCTTCTTACTTTTTCCAAACCTTAAAAGCTGATTTGAATGATAAAAAGTTTTCTGCAGGCTCTACTTTGTTACAATAGTAGATTATTTACTTCTCTGCTGCCCTTCTCGAACCTCTTCATAGGAAAACAACATCTATGCCTTAAAACTTTTGGACTTAGAGGGATGTAAAGTCTCCAAAGAAAAATTGCAGTTTGCACAAATTCAAGTTCTATAACTGATCTCAGAACAAGGGCTACATTTGGATTCAGGTAGGCTTCATTGCATCCCGAACTCCTCCTCCCTCACCCAAATCTAAAACTAATCTCTAATTACAAGGTTTTCTTGGACTGACCGGACACTGTTGAAAGTGGATTCCAAACTTTTTTATTCTAGCTCAACCTCTATATGCTTTACTAAAAAAGGACAAACCTGACCCTATTATTTGGAAAGAGTGGGTAGACACAGCTTTTGGTACTTTAAAGAAAAACCTAATAAAGCCCCTTGCTTTTAGACATCCAACTTCCCTTTTTCCTCTTTGTATGTGAGAGAAGGGAAGGCTTTGTCTGCATTTCCCAAACCTTTGCAACAGGGAGAAACCTCTTCTTTTGATTATGGCCTTTTGGAAATAGCCTCATCATGATCCTGTGATCAAATTAATTCTTTACTTGTTTTTTTCTGAAGGTTTAGAAGGTTCAGAATTCACAAGTCTTTCTTTCACCTGATGTATTATCTGACTCTGGAACTCTTTTTTTTTTTTTTTTTAAAGATTTTATTTATTTATTTGAGAGCAAGCAAGAGAGAGAATGAGAGAGAGAACATGAGAGGGAGTAGGGTCAGAGGGAGAATCAGACTCCCTGCTGAGCAGGGAGCCCGATGTGGGACTCGATCCTGGGACTCCAGGATCATGACCTGAGCTGAAGGCAGTCGCTTAACCTACTGAGCCACCCAGGCACACCCCCCCCACCCCGGAACTCTTATCCAAATTCATGGTCTCTGAATTTGCAAACCTGACAGGCTGTAGTGTTAGATAACATTTGTTTCCGAAACAGTTTTTTTGACATAACAATACTGTTTAAATACATCTTTGAGGATTTGCTATTTTTTGCAACAAATACATTGGCTATTGCTTCATGTTTATACTTGCACTGTATCATCCCAAATGCACTTGGTTAATTCAGTGTGCTCTTGCAGTATTCACTGCTTTGCTTTCATGGCCACTTTAAACAGGGACTTCCAAGAGGCATTCATAACTCTGAGTCTGTTTCTGTTGGGAGAATTTTCTCCCCTAAGTTGGAGTAAGTGCCAATAAATATTTTCAGTTAGTTACTTTCTGATCTAGGGTCTTGGTTTAGAACCATCATAAAATTTGGGAATTAGGTTACTTCTGTTTTTGCATAATATATTTTAAGTTTTGTATTTTGTTGCCTGTCAAATTTTTGTAAAAATCACGTACCCAGTAAGGAGATGATCTCCAATGCTTACAATCTTGACAAATATGAACTATACATGAGAAGTGCCTCACCTTCCTTGTTATTCAAATGTGGCCCTAAGTGGTTTCTGGTATGTACTTTCCTCGAAGTAGGATGTGAGGACCAGAAAAGGTCCTTCCTGGCATTAAGGAACAAAATCATTAAATATGGAAAACCCGACTCTTGATCAGAGGTGCTTTCAGAAAAAGATCTTGACCAAAAGGGGGAAATGTGAAAATAAAGGAAAACCTCATTAGACTGGGGAAGCTGAAAGGGGGAGCCATACCAATCAAAGTCAATTACAGGAAGAACTGTCAAAGGAAGACCCTAACAGAAGAATCATCAACAGGAAAAAATGATCAATTACAGGCCCCAACAGGAAAAGATGTACATTGAATCCTCTATAAGAAACTCACTACCCCTGCAAATCAGCTAATGAGAAACTGTTATCTCTTTGAATTCTTGCTTTTCTCTAATGGATTCTCATTCAAAACAACCCCTCCCAACTTCCTTCTCCATAAAATAAAGTTTTATTTGCTGGACTTCCCTGTGGTTTTACGATAGCTTGCATGTCCTGAATTACAATATTCTGCTATTCCTGAATACACCCATTTTTGCTGGTAAAATAACTATTTTATTTTAAAAGTTAAAAATACTACATTACCATGTTAAAATCCAAAAAAATTTCTAAATTCCAAATACATCTGTCCTTAAGAGTTTTAGGTAAAAGAGTGGTCTTGGACTAGTTTTAGAAAATCATATGATCATGAACTTACCAAATTCTCTTCTATCCAATGTTATGATTTCAGGATCATCATCATAAATACCTAATTTAAAAGTAAAAATTATAAATTAATGGTTCACCATAAAAACAAATTACCATATAAGAATAGGTTACTCTTGTTTTACCATCAAAAATCAGATTACTGTACTAAATCTCAAAGTTGAAGAATGTGCAACAAACTAACAAAACCCGAGAGTAAATAATACCACTGGTGATGCATCTAAACAGTGATAAAAAACAAAAAATTCCGTTTCCTGAGAGGGACTGTCATAGTTGTGTATAGGAGTTCCTAATATTCCCATAATATCTCCACAGAAAACTTCTATTATTTGTTTATTTTGCACGAGTTATAGACTCACAGGAAGTTGTAAAAATAGACTTCTATGTACCCTTCACTCAGCTTCCCCTAATGGGTAACTTATGTAGCTTTAATAAAATATCAAAACTAGGAAACTGACACTGATACGTTACTGTTAACTAGACTACAGACTTCCTTCTTAGATTATATGGTTTTTTAAATAAATCGTATCACTAAAATATTTTATTTTTTAACAGTCTTACAAGATTTACAGAAGTAGAGACCAACTTATTTAGTAAATATAAATTTTATAATTAAAACCAATGTGAGAAAATTTCTTGTTACTATATAAAATATCAAAATAATACTAGTGATGGATATACACCAGGTGTTAGCAAACTTTTTCTGCAGAGGCCAGTTAAATAGGCCTTGTGGGACATATGGTTTCTGTCATAACTATTCAACTCTGCCCCTGAAGTGAAAGAAGCCAAAGACAATATGTAAATAAATGAGCCTAATTTTACTCTTGTAATTATCATGGTCTCATAATTCTATGATTAATAAATCTCTATTTACAAAAAGAGGTGGCAGGCCAGATTTAGCCCGTGAAACATACATTGCTGACATCTGATACATGCTATTGCGTTGCAGTGAATATAACTGAAAATGCTATTTTGAAAAAAAAAAAATAGTCTTGAGAAACAAATACTCCAATATTAATTTAAAGTATTTTACGTGGTCACTACAAAAGCATACCTCAATTCTTAGCCTGCATTTCAGGGTAATTAAAAACGAAGAGAAATACTGGGTAAGTGAATGCTCCCTCTTGCTTTGATACCTGTGTTTATTTTATCTCCCCCCCTTTTGAATTCTGCTCCAATGTTATATTAAAAAAAAAAAAAAAGAATCAAGGTGATACATATTAACTACATAAGCTTAGTAGTGAAACAAAATTAATTTTCTAAATTTACTCAAATAAAAAACAGTATTTCATACAGAGTATCGTATCATCTTACCAAAATCATAACGATAATAATTCCAGCTTTCATACTGGCCTCCTTCTTGATTATCTGCAAGTCCCTTTTCTCCGTATTTGTCATACTTTTTCCGCAGATCTTCATCTTTGAGTACTTCATATGCTCTATTTATTTTTAAAAAATCACTATGTGCGTTTGGGTTATTCTATTAAAAATATTAGATATAACATTTGTTTTAGGTACACGATCAAGTCTCTTCAAAGCCTATATGAAGATTTAATCTTGAGATTTCTGGGAGAATAGATACCAAAGTAAGGTGGAGGAGTACGATAATGAAATGGGTTATCATGGGTTAAAATAAAGTATTTCTAAAGAACTATAATCTTCCAAAAAAAAAAGGAATAAGGAAAGTAACATAGAAATGAGAATTGATGCCTCCAAAGGCTGACAGATATGGTCTTACAGTATGTCATTCCTTCTAAGAAATGCAACTGAGAAAAACTAACAAAACCTTGGAAACATTTAATTTTGTAAATATTATACTACCCCTAAAACAATTACAAAGAATTTTGTAGGTTATTTTTCCATTTGAGGCAAAACCAACATATTAACTAAAAACAACAATAACAAACCCCAAAACAAAAAACAAAAGGTATGTGCCCAATCTATCAGATAATTAAATGAGACTAATATCAGAGTAAAACTCAAAACTGGATTAGAAATGTTCATTTGTTACTGTTTCACAGAACTGGTTTTTGAAGAATGCTTTCATCTAGATAATAATTAGCTATAAAAGGACTACCATCTCTCATATGGAAACTTAAAAAATCATATTCTGAAAATTTAAAGAAAAATATGAAAAATAAAAATTCTAAATAGAGTGCAGATCTCAGGAAAATAACCAATAAGAGTTCTACTGCTAAGTTTTATTCAATAAATAAATAACTCTATTTAAAAAATTCTACACAGAAAACAGAAAATTTTAAACCACACCTTTCTTCTTGATGAGTCAAATCTCGTTAAAAAGTTACATAAATTATTAAAAATACTGTAAGTATTAAAACATTTAGTTTTGAAAAATGACATTGAATATATAATCAAATATTTATGACTGGAATTAACTGGATTTGGCTGCTCTTAAGTTTTAATTTATAATAATTTCTGACTCTGGTCTGGGATTTGTACGTGGGAGAAAACAGTGAAAGTTGAAGCGCGTTATTATTAGCTATTACTGCCATTTTTAGCAAGAACCTTCCAAGTTCTAAGGAAATACTTTTTCTGTTACAGTTATAAAGTAGTTGATCTTAACTTACTTTTTCTTTTTTAAGATTTTTTTATTTGTTAGAGAGACTGAGAGAGCGCACAAGCAGGCAGAACGGCAGCCAGAGGGAAGGAGCCCGATGCGGAACTCGATTCCAGGACCCTGGGATCTTGATGTGAGCCGAGGTCAGACGCTTAACTGACTGAGCCCACCCAGGTGTCCCTGATCTAACTTACTTTATTAAAAAAACTACTTAAACTACTCCACAACATTACTGTCGGCTTTGGAATTAACACCTGTAATGGAACTGTTGTAAATCAGTTTTCAAATTAAGAGGGAATTGAATTTTTGGTATCAACATTCCTTCACACTGTTCTCAACTAGACTATTTTGCTGATTCTTAGTACAAAAACTGAATTGTGATTTTTGCCATGTGATTTTCTTAACCATTTTGAGCACTTATTTAAAATTTAAATATGTAGCAAAACTTTACTAAAATACATTAGAGATATTTAAAAAAATTTTACCTACCGGGTTTTTATCAGGATGTAACTTCAATGCCAATTTCTTGAAAGCTTGTCTTATTTCTCTACTGCTTGCAGTTTTGGATACTCCAAGTAAACTGTAAAAATCCTGATCTGTGCCCACTAAAATGGCCATATACACTATTAGAAAACAGAGAATGACCCTTTTCAAGTCTCTGACATAGTCATTTTTATTTAACCAGACTCCCATTCTTTTTCTTAAACAAGTTCTGATTTAAGTGAACAATAACATACACCGCTGGTTCCAGTTGATACAATATGCAAGTTTGAGAACTTCTGTTCACATTACTCCAAGAGTGAATCAAGCATCATGAAACTGTCTCCCAAAATGTCAATCTAAAGAGAGGAAACCAGGTGGTTAAAAATACATTTAAAAAAATAGCACTAACACTATTAAATAATATGGCCAGTAATACAGTCTCCATTCAATGGCAAATCACGGTGAGTGCCCAGGCTCTATTCTTTGGGGGCCCTTTCACTGCTTCCATACCCAATTTGTGAAACCACTCAAGACAGGAGATAAAAGGTAAAAGGTAGCAGGTAGTTGTAGCTAGCTGGAACACTTTAAAAACAAACAAATTCAACTATTTGCTCTGATCAGCATCAGAACACAAAGTTGGGAAAAAGCTGTTTCCTTCCCTTTCCTATCTAGTTTAAGAACTGCTCTTTTGTAATACCATTTCCTTTTTGACTTTTTTTTTTTTGCCACTTAAGGCTACACCGTTATCATTTTAATCAAGTTTTCACTTATAGGAAATATCCTTTGGAGGGACTAGAAGTATAGGGTCCTTTCAAAGGGTATTGTTCATATAACTCTTCCAAGAATGGCATGAATTTATATTGTTATAAGAGACAACATACTTGGTATGGCCGTTATTTTCTGAGTTTCCTCAATAGTTGCTTACACTATACAGAGACTACTTTATATAAATAGCAGAATAATAACTACAAGTTAAGAGTGTAATTTTATTGCAAAGTTTACGTTTGAGATAAATGAAAATAGGAAAAAAGAGAAAAGGAGAAGGAATCAGTTATTTTGACATGCTCACCTGTATAGGGTAAATAATCTCCACTTCATCAGATCACAAAAGATCTCAAACTGCTTTGAAAAATCTAACCTTCTTAGCATTCTGTTTCTCTTTTCTTCATTTAATTCTAAATGTCTATTTCTAAATTTTTCTCCTTACCTGCGAATGGTCTTTGGCTCATCTCTAACTCCTCCTTTTCATGCAACTGAAACATACCCTTGTAAAGTATAGTGATGGAGAGTAACTAATATCTAGACTAGAAAACAAGACTAGAGAGAAACAGAGAACATATATTCTTAAACACCACTTTGGGACAAGGGGTGTTCCCTGCCCAGCGGTCGTTCTCAGCGTGGGTGTGGCTGACTTGATCGCGCCGAGCTTCGGGTACAGGTGGAAGCTGCAGGTAAATCCAATACGAAAGCTTTCTGGCTGCCATCACTCCAGAATGGGATGCGGGAGAAGGGAAAGATGGGAGACCTTGCGTGAAAGAGACTATCAAGTGCTGTTGGTGCGTGAAGTCTCCGGCGGGACATGGGAGAGAGGAGCCTGAGGAACTGAGGCTTAAGCGAGAAATTGGGAGTTAGAAGCAGGGAACCGAGGTCGGAAGAAGGGGGACGATGTAGGTAATTGGAAAAAGATGGGGAGCGAGAACACAATAAACCGGCCGCAGGGGCGGAGGGGAGGGAAGGGAGACTGAGGTGCACAGGCATTTCTCTCTCCCTTCCTGGAGAGCCCCGGGCCCCGGCCCATGCCCACCTCGGTGCAGCGGGGTCGCCTCTTGTAGCTACTCCCCCATCCTCAGTTCCCGGCGGCGGACCCCACCCGACCGAACGCAAGCTGTGCGCGCGCGAACGAAGCACGCCGTCTCCGACCGCCCGGCCGCCGCGCTCGGGATGGGGGAGGTCGAGCCGCACCGGCAGCAACCAGCGTAGCAGCTCCAGTCGGCTCCTCGCGCCCCGGTCCCCACGCCGAACCGGGGCGGGGCCTGGCGCGGGGCACTGTGGGAAAGGCGTGGAGGACGCGGCCTGGGAGGACCTGCGGCAGGCTCAGCGGCCGCGGCGGCAGCAGGGTGGGGAGGGCGGTGTAGGTTTAGGTTGACGTGGCCGTCCGCGCGGAATCCGGCTCCGGCTCCGGCTCCGGCTCCAACCCCGAGCTCAGAAACCCGCTCGACCCTGGACGCCCGCGCCCCCGCACTAAAGCGGCTGGCGCACGCGGCGAGCTGGTCGTAGGACGACGGAGCCCGCCCCTTCCTGCTCCAGTTGCTATGGTGACGGGGAAACCCGGAGGGCACGTTTAGGCGTTCAATTTCCGCGTGGCCCTGTTCTTAAAGGGAAGGCAGAGTTATGGAGCATTTTTCTGGTTGGTGGGTGGGTGTGGCAGAGAGGGGAAATTTTGTGGAAAAAGGGTAACTTGGCCAAAGTGACACTGATTACAGGCTGAAGAGGAAACTTGGGAGAAATAAGAATATTTGTGTGTGTGTGTGAGAACAAACATTTGAGCATTCTACAGTATTGTCTGGTTTCCTAGTCATCCAAGCTAGAAACTAGGGAGTTATCCATACTTCTCTCTCTCACCTTAAATTTAAATGATGTACAAAAACTGCATTTCTGATCTCCAGCAACATAGAACAGTTGAAGTAGCTACATTTGCAATCATCAAAAGAAAAAAAAAAACATTGTGAAGATGCCTGCTTAAGACATTAACCCTAAAAAAAAAAGACATTAACCCTAATATGAAATAAGTTGTAATCGGTAACAATTTCATGGTAGTAAATCAAATGTAAGTTTATAAAAAACTGATGACTGTATGGAATCCATAGCTGAACTAATACATTGCAAGAAAGAGGAGAAAGGAGGTGAACAAAAGTAGAAATATTAGAAGAGCCTAATGTAATAGTAAATATGTGCCAGGAACTGGTCTAAGCACACATGTATTAATTCAGTCCTCCAAATAATCTTATAGTGACTATTATTATACCCATTTCACAGTTGAGGTAACTGAGGTAAATAATGTGATAGACATGGGAGTCACACTTAAGCAGCCTGGCTCCAAAGACTGATGTTAATCATTATGCCACACTGTGTATGAACCAACAAAATCTTTAGAGTAAGGTGGAAAGCAAAACAAAACTGGAGAATCAAGCAGGGACCAGATCACAGTGGGTTTTACGCAATGATGAAAACACAGACTTTATCTTTTTGGTGATGAAAAAACTACTTAAAGCTTTTAAGTAAGGGACTGAGATTGTATTTGAAGCTATTGGAAAGTGAATCCAAAGGAAACCGAAGAGAAAGGAAGAGCATTAAGGAGAATGCTAGAGAAAGTAAATTTGGTAGGAAATGGTGATTGGCTGGATATGGGAAATAAAGGAGAGGAAGGATCTAAGGTTACTTCTGGTTTAGGTAACTGAGTACATCCCCTGAAGGAGAATCTCAGGGAAAAACAAAGTGTTCTCATTTGGATATATCTGTTTCAAAATTCCTACATTATGTCCAAAATAAATACATCTAGCCTAAAACTCATGGAAAGTGTCTAGACCGAAGAAAGAAAAAGGGAATTATCAACTAATCTTTGGTAGTTGGAGCCATGAGTATAAATAAGATCACCCAGAGAAAGTAGCAGAATAAAAGCTGTGAGCCAAGGATAAAATCTTGGGGAATTCTAATATCAGGAATGTTGCATAGCAAAGGAAACCATCAACAAAATGAAAAGACAACCTATGGAATAGGAGAAAATATTTGCAGATCATATATCTAATAAAGGGTTAATATCCAAAATATATAGAGCTTATACAACTCAATAGCAAAAAACCCCCAAACAATTCAATTAAAAAATGGGCAGACAATCTGAATAGACACTTTTTCAGAGAAGACATACAGGTGGTCAACAAGCATATGAAAAGGTGCTCAGCGTCATTAATCATCAAGAAATGCAAATCAAAACCACAATGGGATATCACTTCACACCAGTCAGATATTAGTCATAATATCAAAAAGACAAAAAAATAAGTGTTGGCAAGGATGTGGGGAAAAGGAAACCCTCATACTGTCGGTGGGAATGAAAACTGGTGCAGCCACTATGGAAAACAGTAGGGAGGTTCCTCAAAAAATTAAAAATAGAACTACCATATGATCCAGCAATTCTACTTCTGGGTGTTTATCCTAAGAAAGTGAAAACACTAATTAGAAAAAATATATGCACCCTCATGTTTATCACAGCATTATTCACAATAGCCAAGATATGGAAACAACCTAACTGTTGAATGACAGATGAATAGCTGAAGAAAATGTGGCATATATGTAAAATGGAATATTATGCAGCCATAAAAAAGAATGAAGTCTTGTCATTTGTGACAACATGGATGGGTTTTGAGGGCATTATGCTAAGTGAAAAAGGACATATAGAAAAAGACAAATACTGTATGATCTTATATACAGAATCTAAAACACGCACACACACACAGACTCACACACACACACACACGCACACCACCAAACCTATAGAGGACAGATTGTTGGTTGCCGGAGACTGGAAGTGGGGGGTGGGAGAGATGGATGGTACAGTTTTCCAGTTATAAAATATATGAGTCCTAGGGATGTAATGTACAGCACGGTGACTATAGTTAATAATACTGTAATGCATATTTGAAAGTTACTAAGAGAGTAGATGCTGAAAGTTCTCATCACAAGAAAAAAAATTCTATAACTATGTATGGGACAGATGTTAATTAGAATTATTGTGGTGATCATTTCACAATATATACAAATATCAAATCATTATATTGTATATCTGAAACTAATATAATGTCAATTATACCTTAATAAAAATTTACAAATTAAAAAAAAAGAATGTTAGCTCTATGAAAACAGGAATTTTTGTTTGTTTGAATTACTGTTGTATCCCTAGTTGCTCCTGGCACATGGTGGGTACTAAATAAATATTTCTTAAGTGAAACAAATTAATTTGAGAGCTGGGCTGAAAAAGAAGAGCTCATAAAGGAGTCAAAAAAGAGATGATCAACGATGTACAAAAAGAACTAAATGTCAAAGAAGTTATTAAGAGTGATTCAGGTGAGACAGAATAGGAGAAGATATTTGCAAATGACATATTAGATAAAGGGCTAGTATCCAAAATCTATAAAGAACTTACCAAACTCAACACCCAAAGAACAAATAATCCAATCAAGAAATGGGCAGAAGACATGAACAGACATTTTTCCAAAGAAGACATCCAAATGGCCAACAGTCACATGAAGAAGTGCTCAACATTGCTCGGCATCAGGGAAACCCAAATCAAAACCACCTCACATCAGTCAGAATGGCTAAAATTAACGAGTCAGGAAATGACAGATGTTGGCAGGGATGTGGAGAAAGGGGAACCCTCCTACTCTGTTGGTGGGAATGGAAGCTGGTGCAGCCACTCTGGAAAACAGTACAGAGATTCCTCAAAAAGCTGAAAATAGAGCTACCCTACAACCCAGCATTTGCACTACTGGGTATTTACCCCAAAGCTACAAATGTAGTGATCCGAAGGGGTATGTGCACCCCAATGTTTATAGCAGCAATGTCCACAATAGCCAAACTATGGAAAGAGCCAAGCTGTCCATCGACAGACGAATGGATAAAGAAGACATGGCATATGCAGCCATCAAAAGGAATGAGATCTTGCCATTTGCGACAACATGGATGGAACTGGAGGATATTATGCTGAGTGAAATAAGTCAATCAGAGAAAGACATGTATCATATGATCTCACTGATATGAGGAATTCTTAATCTCAGGAAACAAACTGAAGGTTGCTGGAGGGGTGGGGGGTTGGGAGGGAGGGATGGGGTGGTTGGGTGACAGACATTGGGGAGGGTTTGTGCTATGGTGAGCACTATGAATTGTGTAAGACTGTGAATCGCAGACCTGTACCTCTGAAAATACATTATATGTTAAAAAAGGGCGCCTGGGTGGCTCAGTTGGTTAAGCGACTGCCTTCGGCTCAGGTCATGATCCTGGAGTCCCGGGATCGAGTCCCGCATCGGGCTCCCTGCTCAGCAGGGAGTCTGCTTCTCCCTCTGACCCTCCTCCCTCTCATGCTCTCTGTCTCAAATAAATAAATAAAATCTTAAAAAAAAAAAAAAAAGAAGATAGGAAGGGTAAAATGAAGGGGGTAAATCGGAGGGGGAGACGAACCATGAGAGACTATGGACTCTGAGAAACAAACTGAGGGTTCTAGAGGGGAGGGGGGTGGGGGGATGGGTTAGCCTGGTGATGGGTATTAAAGAGGGCATGTATTGAATGGAGCGCTGGGTGTTATACGCAAACAATGAATCATGGAACACTACATCAAAAACTAATGATGTAATGTATGGGGATTAAAATAACATAATAAAATTTTTTTAAAAAAGTGATTCAGGTGAGACACTAAAACTTGTTAACCGGGACTGGCACTTAGGTTATAACTACCACAGCAAGCACAGATTTGGTGGATGGTATGGGTGGAAGTCAAGTTGCAGTGGACTGAATATCGAATGGGAATTGGGGAGATGGAAAGAGCAAGTATATAGGACTCATTTGAAAGTTTGGATGAGAAGAGAAGCAGGGAAATTGTATTACAACTTGAGGAGGATGTGGTTTCAAGAGATGAAATGTTTTAGGCCTGGAAATGCTTGAATATGTTTAAAAGCTGCTTAGAAGCCGAGAGAGGGAGAGGGAGAAAGAGAGATGGAGGAGGAAGGGGAGGAGGAAGGGGAGGAGGGAGGGAGGGCGGGAGAGAATGGCTGCAGATAAAGGAGAGAGGGACAGAGTCAGAGACAGAGGTGGATGGATTAAACAGTTCATTTATTCAATAAATTGTTTATTGTCCACTGGGCTAGATCCCTGGCATATTATGGTGAGCAAAGACATCGCTCTGTCCTGAAGAAGCAGTATAATGGGGGGGGGGGCACATCAATCAATTATAAAAACAAATCTATAATTATGAAGGGAAAATACTTCAGTGCTGTGAGAATGAATAATGGGGGATTGATCTAGTCCTGGGTGCAAAGGTTTTGAAAAGGTATTGCCAAAATATATATATTAAAATGAAAAAAAAATTTAGTGAATATGAGCAAGGAATTAGGGAATGGTTTAGGCAGAGGTAATAGAAAATACATCGGCTTCATACTTCTAAAGCATATGGGTTGTTTGAGGAACAAAAAGAACATCAGAATGCAGTAATCC